GACATATGTTCTATTTGTGTGTGCTATTATTGAAACAGAAGCATTTGATGAAATTCTTCCCTCAAGATGTTAGGTTTTTTAATTTTTCATGTTATAATGTATTTCTTTTCTTTTCCATGAAGTAAATTTTCATGCTTCCTCCTCAAATATGTCTTTTTTTTTAATTTGTTGTTTTTTTGTGAGTATATCATACAGACCATCCCAAACAATCTTATTCATCTAAATACCCACTTCCCAAATGGCACCCTCCCATAGCCTCCCCCACCACTGGAGCCCATAAACTCTGCCATCCCTGTTACTGTCCACTGTGTGGTCGGTACCCCCAGCCGTTCCCAGGTGCTTGTCCATTTGCTGAATCTAGTCAGTCTGTCTAGAGCTCCTTGTTTTAGGAAGATCAGCTCTTCCTCATCTAGCAGCAATCAGTTGCCAATATTCCTTTAGATAAGATTGGGGTCTGCTATTCATTTTCCCAGTTCTATGTTGGTTACTGTCTGGGAGTCTTTTGGGCCCCTGACCAACAACTCAAAGGAAGGCATCTCCTGTCTGGCATTGTTTCTTGTTATGTAGCCTTTAGCTATACATAGAGTTCCATATATTTTCTTGATATTAACCCCTTTCTGAATCTATACTTTGCAAATATTTTAACTCATTATGTCTTTTTATTCTGCTGATTGTTTTGGAATACATAGCTTTCTAGCATGCCATTTGTATAGTTAGGCTTTTGTAGTTTATACTTTTGGGGTCTTACCTAAGGAATCCTTGCTTAATTCAATCATAGATCACCCAATTCACATTTTACCAGGTGCCCCCACAGCATTCTTTATATCAAAAAAAGGTCAGAATCGTGTGACCTTTGACTGACATCAGCAGCTTTCACTCTGGATACTTCCTCAGTCTTTCCTTGGCAGTTATCCTGTAGAATGGGATTGTTTGAATTTATCTGATGTTTCTCTGGAAGTAGGTCTGAGGTATGCATGTTTTGTAGGAGTTTATAGAAATGATGCTATGTCTCACATCCTGTCTGTCGGATGGCACCCAATTCCATTTCGCTCCACTATTAATGATACCATTTAGTCAAGGTGGTGCCTACCAGGCTTTTCTACTAAAGGTTACTTTTTTATCTTGTAATTAAATGATTATTTTGTGGGGAGATAGTTTAAAACTAGATAAATATCCATTCTCATCAATATCTGTTCTTATCACATGTTCTGATTACTTTTTAGGAATACATAATTCCCTGTTTTTATTCAATGGATTATAATATGTAACATTTGTTATTTATTTTGGTTTTCAGATTATTCCAGATTTGGTAAGGGCAGAGGGACATCCTCACCTTGAACCTCTTGTCTTCATCTTATTGTGTTCTGCCTCCATTACTTTTTGAGTATGTACTTGGTTTCTAGCAGAACATGGTTTAGTCATATATCTTTTGCTTCAGCCCTAGAATTAGCTATATCTCCAATGGATAGTGGTATTTTGATGTTATAATTTGGATGTTAAATATGTGTCTTACTTTGGGAATAGCTCTGCTTTTAATGCCCTTTCGGTGAACAAATCTAAGAATATAGGGTCATGAGTGTGTGTGAGTGTGCATGTTAAACTGGTTACCACGAGTGTTTTATTATAACAGAGCATTGAATGAATGTCAGGAAACAATCACAGATGCAATTGGACACATGAAACCTCTTTGATAGTCATAGATATGGAAACACAGAGACCATTACATAACATTAATAAGGAGACAACATGCTTCCACATATGGCCCAATTCCCCAAGTGCCCAGGGGTCCCTCCTAAGACTACTTACAAGAACAGAAGCTTTTTCTCCTCATCTGAAACCATGTTGTGCCATTTAGCATCTACTAAACATGTAAAGCCATAAAGCTTCTGCTTATCCCCAGATGCTCCCTTTGCCATGTCCATGTGCTAGGAAGCAGGCGGAGGGATTCGTATCTGCTCTCCATTGTGGTCAGAATGCCCAGAGTATGGGCAGAGTTTTCCCTATAGCTGAATTCACCAAAGGTGCGTGTCCAAGAAGTATCGCCCATGACTGAGATTCTGTCTCAGCGAAACTGTAGATTATAACTGTACTTTAATAAAACCCAAGGTTCTAGTTATGAATATTAAGGCTTTCACTTCCCTGAAGGGAGGGTCATTTTATTAATCATCTGGTTCTTCCAGTTTTTGAATAATTATGTTAACTTGTTCCAGTCTTTAACAGTCCCTTTTCTTTTCTGTAAGCCTTACATGTTTTTGTATAGTGACACCCCTTCCTGTTTAGAACACAAGCCTAATGCCCTTCTGGTTTTTGGGCATTCCTTTCCTTTTGACTTTGTGGGCAAATAGATGCCATCCTTTAGCTTGGAGACACTGTCAGCTTGGGTGGTAAGGGCAGAGTAGTGTCGTCCTAGCCATGTTCCCAGGGCACTATATGTAAGCACTTTTTATATCCTGTTCTGGAGGAAGAAGGACATGACTTTCAAGTGCACAACTATATACAATGAAATGACTACCTTTTGTATTCCATTTTGTCATGACAGGAAAAGTCATGCATGAAGAGCATGTGGAACTCTTGATGGAAGAATTTGCATTCCTGAAAAAAGAAGTGGTGGGGAAAGAGCTGCTGAAAGGGTCTCTTCACTTCACAGGTCAGTTTCAGGCAGGGTTGCTGGTCACAAGTGAGGTCCCAAGACCAGCCAACTTCTCTCTTAATGTCACTGCAGTGGGAAATCATCCAACTCATTGTTGTTACCTGGGCAGCATGATGAGCCTTCTCAGAGCTCTGGGGGCCTCGGCTCAGGTGGAGCTTGGTTCTTCACATTGCAGAAAACGATTTTAGATCATGTCATAATGGGACCAAGTTAGTAAGCTTATTGATGAAGCAGAAAGACAAGATGTGGGTGAAAAGAGACAAGTGTAGGCATTAGAAGAGGAACGTTCCTAAGTACTGCAAAAGGAACCATCCACGTGATTTATGTCACAAGGATATTAGATTTAAGGCATAATTCATTAACCACTTTTTAATAAAATCTTGTCTTTGAAGTCTCCCTTGGGGACTGGTAGTCTGGTTACTTATGTAGAAAACTGGATGTTAGCTAGTAAGAAGATGAGGTTGAGATCCAGAAGAGGGAGTGGGCAGGGCCTTCTCATGACCCACCCACTAACTATCCTGCCCTACTCTCTAGATTGTGAGCTTGTATTCATTTCTTCTACAGACTTTCTGACTCAGGGCTTACTTTAAATTTCTAGACTTCCATGAATAATAAAAAGCATGTGTATTAGTAACTTTTCTGGTTGCTATGTTAAAACACTTGACACCAGCAATTTAAGGAAGAAAGGGTTCCTTTTGGCTCACCCTTAAAGGGGATAGTCCATTGTGATGGGAATGCAGAGCTGTTACATTCTATCCTCAGTCAAGAAGCAGAGCGTTCCATATTACTGGTGTTTAGCTCACTTTTCTCCTTTTTCCTTTTTATTCAGTCTAGGACTTCAGCCCATGAATGTGGGCCTTTCTTCCTCAGTTAAACCTCTCTTAACTCCCTTAAAGCCATATCCAGAAGCGTGACTCCTAAGTAATTCCAAGTTTAATCAGGTTGATGAGATTAACCATCACATCTGTTACTATTCTTTCCTTACATGAAATGTATCACTTGATGCAACCTTGGATGAAAAGGTGAGTCAGAAATCTCAAGCATATTTATTTCTGTCTAGTCTTCTGGGCTAGAGCTGGAAAGGTAGTTCAGTGGTAGAATGCTTGGCCAGTGTGTAGGCAGGCTCTGCTTAAGTTTCTGCTGCTGTAGAAAGAACGGTGGGGGGAGAGGAGGAGGAGAAAAGGAGAAGGAGAAGAAAAAAGAAAGAAAATGAAATCTTAAAAACTGGCTGGAGGTTATTTTTCTATAGGATATCGTGGATTGAAACAGTTTGTTTTGTGGGTTTTTTTTAACTTTAAAAAAAACTTTATTGAGAATTTCATTTGTGCATATAAGGTGTTTTGATCAAATCCACACCCACTCCCTCCCCTCCAGCATTTCCCATATTTCCCCATCACTTTTTCTGACAACTTCGTGCTCTCTCTCTCTCTCTCTCTCTCTCTCTCTCTCTCTCTCTCTCGGCTTTTTGCTACTCTAACATTCCCCCCTCTAAAGAGGTAACCCTAAAATCTTTAGGGATTAGATAAGAGCTCCCAAATACTTTCTGACATTTTTGGCCTTTGGAACAGAGTATGTTGCTAAGGGTCCCGAGGACATTTCGACTTTTAGCCAAGAAACTGGCTACTTTTCTTTGGGGTGTTTTTACCCTAACTGCCTAGCCAATTCCTACCTCCTATTCCTACCACACCATCCTCTGAAGAGGTTACCCAAATTGTCAATAGGGAGTCAGGATGCAGACCATTCTGGCTTCTTCCATGCTTAACAGGGATGCAGGGGGAGGCAATTGGAGTACCCCTTCAGTGGGTCTATCTAAAAGACTCCCAGATTGCACAACTCTTATCTCTAGGGAAAAGAAAAAAAGCATAACAGTTGCCAGATTGAAAAGCTGAACTGAAAGACTCCTAAGAGGTTGCGGAGTGACCATGGAGGCAAGTGACTGTCAGTTAATGAATGTTGCACAGCAAATTGCATGGAAACTGAACCCCAGCCTTTGTCTCTCCGGTGGTTGCTGTTCCATCCTGCTCAAGAGACTTCCACCCTGGAGCCTCAGGGGTTCCACCTAATGACTGGCTTTCCCAACATTCTCCTGCACTCTCAGCATTCCAGCCTCTAGAATAAATGTGGGTGCATCGTCTTGTTTGTAAATTTCTATTTTTCCACTCTTGAAGTAAAAGAAAATGGTAGTTTATACTGATAAATTAGTTTTGCAATTGATAACTAGAGGAATTTCTGAATGATTTCTTAGTTAAAGTTCAATACATTTTTTTCTTAATTTTGCAAAATAAATATCTGATACCACCCTAGAGTTGGTTCAGTTATTACAAAAGTAAAATTGACACAAAGTCAGAAGCGCAGGTCCCTAGACAGTTACCATATATTATTTTATAAAAATAATGAATTAGAAGTTGATGCTTCAGTTGACATGGCCTAAGACAGAGGCCTCCCCCCACCCTAAACAAAAAAGATACCCTGAAGTTTGGATTTGTAACCCACACAAAATTTAACGGTTTATCTTCTGTAAGATAATATTTTTCTCAAATGTTGGATTACCACTTAAAAATAGCCATTGTATTAACTGGCAAACCACAAATTTATTTCTGCATAGTGGCACATAGGAAATATGAAGATCTGTACATCTTTATAATCCTGAATGCTGATACTTAAGTTATTCCTAAGCTTTCTAAAACTAGTTCCACATCTCAAGATAAAACATCTCCATACTACTACATTATATGTCATGTATTAAGTTGTTTCTTAAAGTACTGTTGCTACAGTGATCACCATGAAAATTTATTAACTGAATACATTAAGAATCTACCAGAAGTAGCATAGGATGCCAATCCTAGGTACTAGGCAAGCTGAAGTAGGAGTATCACAAGTTCTTGATCGTAATCTGCAACGCAAACTGAAAACCAGTAGTCAATTTAGATGATGTCTCAAAACACAAAGTAATCAAAGAAGGCTGGGAATATTGCTCAGTGCTAGAGTGCACAATGCCCGAGGTTCAACTCCCAGTCAAAAGAAAAAACAAACAAACAAACAAACCCTATCATAAGCTCAGTATGGTGGCACATACCTATGTTCCTAGCACTCAGGAGGCTGAGGCAGGATGATTGCCATGAGCTTGAAGTGAGTCTGGGCTTCACAGCAGGTACCAAGCCAGCCAGAGCCACAAGACCTTCTTTCTCTGTCTTTCTCTATCTCTGTCTCTGTGTCTCTCTCTCCCTCTCTCCTTCCTTATATGCATGTATGAAATTCTTAATAAATTATTTTTTTAAAAAGTAAAGCTAACCATACCATATAAAGAAATCCCACTTCAGCTCAATAAAACCTTGACAGTATATTTTTTTAAAGATCAGCTCTTCTTCACCCAAGAGCCTGCAAGTCTACAGAGTGTGGGTTCTTGTACAGGACTCCTATATTAAACTCCACCCACCCAGGGCTCAGGGACCACTGCAGAAGAGGGGGCAGAAAGACTGTAAGAGCCAGGGAGGAGGTGCATGACTATATGTTCAATTTTTATCCAATATATCATGAAATTCTTATGAGCAAATTCAAAAAACCTTTACCAACTATGTGCTAGGAGATGCAGTAGGAAGTTTTTGTGTTTATGAAAAACTTGTTTCTATGGTGTTGCAGATTATTTAACTTTCTGGTAGATTGTGTGTGTGTGTGTGAGAGAGAGAGAAGAGAGAGAGAGAGAGAGAGAGAGAGAGAGAGAGAGATAGTAGTCCCCCCAGCGTTGCTCTTTGTGCTCAGGATTGCTTTGGCTATCTGGGGTGTTTTGTGCTTCCATACAAATTTAAGTATTTTTTTTTTTCTAATTCCGTGAAGTATGTCATGCAGATTTTGATTGGGATTGCATTGAATCTATATATTGCTTTTGGTAGGATGGTCATTTTCACAATATTAATTCTTCCAGTCCATGAGCATGAGAGGTCCTTCCATTTCCTGGTGTCTTCCTCAATCTCTTTCTTTAATGATTTAACATTTTTATTGTAGAGATCTTTGATGTCTTTGGTCAGATTTATTCCAAGATTTTTTTTTGTTTTTGCGGCAATTGTGAATGGGAGCATTTCCTTGTACTCTTTTCTCCAATTGCTTGTTATTGGTATATAGAAAGGCTACTGATTTTTGTAGATTGATTTTATAACCTGCCACTATACTGAAAGTGTTGATCAGTTCTAAGAGTTTTCTGGTGGAACTTTTGGGATCTCTTAGGTATAGTATCATATCATCTGCAAAAAGTGATAGTTTGACCTCTTCTTTTCCAATTAGTACTCCTTTAATTTCCTTCTCCTCTCTTATTGCTCTAGCAAAGGTTTCAAGCACTATGTTGAAAAGGAGTGGAGATAGTGGACATCCTGTCTGGTTCCTGGATTTCGATGGAAATGTTTCCAGTTTTTTTTCCATTTAGAATGATGTTGGCTGTGGGTTTGTTATATATGGCTTTAATTATGTTGAGGTATGTTCCCTCCAGTCCAATTCCGTCTAGGACTTTGAACATAAATGCATGTTGAATTTTGTCAAAGGCCTTCTCTGCATCTATTGAGATGACCATGTGGTTCTTGTCCTTGAGCCCATTTATATGATATATGATGTTTATTGACTTATGTATACTGAACCATCCCTGCATGTCTGGGATAAAGACAACTTGATTATGGTGGATGATCTTTTTGATGCCCATATGCGGTTTTCAAGTATTTTGTTGAGAATTCTTGCATCTGTGTTCATTAAGGATATGGATCTGTAGTTTTCTTTTTGGTTGTGTCTTTACTCGGTTTGGGTATTAGAGTGATGCTGGCTTCATAGAAGGAATTTGGAAGTTCTCCCTCC